GTGAGCTCTGCATTGTTCAATGAAGCATTAACAATAACAGGATAGGTAGAGTTTTCTCCCAGAAATGCGTACCTTAGCCCTGCAGGGAGCTGTTTAAGCTCAACTTTTGGTGCTTTTGCTGCAGACCAATCACCCATTGTGGCAGCTTTCGCAGATGTGGAGACAAACTCATCCTGTGCAACCAGTTGCATCACTTGTGCAGTAGCATCCATCATCTTTGTGTAGCCTGTTGCAGCAGCATCTAAATGCTCATACTCAGCTGTAGAAGTGGTCAACGCCCTTTCCAAGGGATCCTCTGAACTCATCTCATGGAAGATCTGATCAGCAATGTTTGTGAGGACATCCACATAAAAAGTCTGTCCATCTATGGTTGGCCTCTTCATCAGCTTGTCCATTTCGAATTTCATCACTAAATCGCCAACATTCAGCTCTATTCTACCTTTCCTGACGTCAATGATAGCTCCTGCAGTAGCTAATAAGGGTCTGCCAAGAATCAAGGGGTCTTTGGACTCTTCTCCATACTCTAGAACCACAAAATCAGTAGGGATCATACAATCTCCTATTTTGATAGGAACATCCTCTATCACTCCTTCAGGAACTCTAACTGATCTATCAGCTAGGACAAGAGATATCCTTGTAGCCTTAAAATCGGTCATCCCCAAACTCTTGGCAACAAAATGAGGCATGAGGTTCACACTAGAACCAAGATCACACAATGACCTCTCAAACTTTTCATTGAAGATAGTGCAGTCTAAAACAAAACTTCATGGGTCTGAAAGCTTCTCTGGAACTCTGTTCTGAATCACTGCACTGACCTGCTCGTTGATCATCATAGATCCAACCTCAAGACTTAAGTTATTGGTCACCATCCTCTTCACATACCTCCTTATAACAGGAGTGATCCTGACAGCATCTATTAATGGGATCTCTATTACCAACTTGTCCATGATAGCCTTGCATCTTGCATCTTCAAGCTCTTGCTTAGACTTCTTAGGATGCTTAGGATAGGGTATCTTGGGTTTATACACGGTCTCCTTAGCATTATTTGAAGTCTTAGGCGAAACTGCAGCATGTGGTGTCTGGTGACGAGCGTCACTGGAATGGTGGCGAGCGTCACCCAATTTGGGCGAGTCGGGATTGATCACTGGATATGGGTGATGAGCGTCACCCATCTGGTGACGGTCGTCACTAATTTGTGAAGAGTCGGGGTCAGGGTTGTGCTCGATGGGTGACGAGCGACACCCATTATTGGTGTCGAGCGTCACCCGTGGTTCTTCAGCAAATATTTCTTCATCTTCATACTCTTCCATACCCACGAAATTCCTTGATGTTAAATCCTTCTGCAACACCGGTTGCAGGTTCTTTCCACTCCTCAATGTGATGGCATTCACATGGTGTTTGGGATTAGCATCAGTTCTTCCTGGAAGAAATCCTTCTTGCCTCTGAACAGCTCCTGCAGTTTGGGCAACTTGAACATCAAGCTTCTTCATATGAGAGTTCAGACTCTCAATTTTTCCATTCAAATCCTGATAGAGCGAATCTATCTTACCATTAAAGTCCACTGTAAGCTTCTGTTGTCCTTCCAAGATCTGTTCTAACATTGCTTCCATTTTATTCCCTTGTGGAGGTGCTGGTTGATAGGAAGAAGAACCATAGTTTCTGTAATTTTCACTGTTCTGGAATGGCTTCTGATACTCTGTCTTCTGGAATGGGGGTCTAGGAGTGAAACCAGGCGTGCTCTGTCCTCCTGTAAGGGCGTTCTTCTGATTATTGTTGCTGTATCCTCTGTTCCACTGTTGATTCCCATACCTTTGTCCCTGAAAACCACCAGAATTGATGAAATTTACATCCTCCTGCTCAACTTCCTCTGGAGCTTCGAAAGTTTCCACTTCTGCAGCAAAGTGAACCGACTTCTTCCCCACCAAAAGGCTGTGCATATCATCCAACTTAGCCTTAACTTCAGCAATCTGATTTCCATCAGCTACACCAGCTTGTTTCATCCTCTGAAAGTCTGCATTTTTAGTGCTGTTGCTACAGACCAAGTTCTCAATCAGTCTGATCGCCTCTTCTGGTCTGTTGGTGTTGAAGTTTCCTGCACTTGCTGCATCCAGCGCCATCTGATATTTCCAGTCAATGCCTCTGAAGAAAAAATCCCAAGTAATTGCACCTGACTGAAACCATGATGAGGACAGTCCCAACCTGATCCAAGAGGCCTTGAAAGCTTCAGTAGGGCCTTGTGTAAATGATGCAATTTTCGTCCTCATGTCCTCTGATCTTACATCATCATAGAAGTTGTTCAAAAAGGCATTCTTGGTGTCTTCCCAAGTGGTCAATGAAGCAGGTTCCAGTTGCTTCAGCCAATATGCAGCTTCTCCTTCAAGAGAGTAAGGAAAAAAGCTTGCAGAACAGAAAGTCATTGCTAACCCTATTAGCTTTGACACTGGAAGCCAAGTCCTCAAATCTCTCTATGTGATCCATAGGATGCTCATGAGGTAAACCATGTAATGGATGCTGGCCAACCAGCTGATAGTAGACTGGTTTAACCTCAAAATCGTTCCTCTGGAAGACAGGAGGTCGGATTGCAGCTCTGTTCGCATAGAACTGATCAGGTCTGTTGTAGTCACCTAGAGTCCTCTGAACAAAACGCCCAGCAGCGTTATTGACAGTAGCAGGGACTCCCATGTTCTCAGCCAGTTGCTGAACCTGCTGTTCAACAATGATATTCCCCTCTTGATCAATTCTCTGCCCCTCTTCGTTCCTCCTATATCTTTCCCTGTCAACTAAGTGACCTTCTGCATCTTCAACCAAGATAAGTGGAGCGACCATTGTAGATTGCTTCTTAGCTTTCCTGTTAGTTCTCTCCAACCTAGGAAGCTCGTCGATGCTCAAAGTCACAAGCTCCTTCTCTTTGTTGCTTCTGGTTCTGCGATTAGGCATACACCTGAAACAGGAACAAAGAAAAGTAGCTGAAAGTCAGTAAACAAATAAAAACTTAGACAAAATCCTAATACTAAAAATCGATAGGCAGCTATTACTCCCCGGCAACGGCGCCAAAAACTTGATAGGGCTCAGGTTTTACCCAAATAAAACTACTGCAAGTGCACAGCAAAAACAGTTGTAGTACAAGGGGTATCGAAATCCCAAGAGAGTAATGCAGACTACACTATCGAATGTAGATTCGGATTAAGCTAAGCAAGATATGATGTATGTAATGCGAATGAATGAATGAAAGTAAGCAAACGATTTTGTAAGATAATCTAAGTTCCAGAAGACTAAAAGCGCTAAGTCAGGGTAGTTTGCAGGTTGAATCCAAGAATATATGATGCAGGAAATCAGGAATGATTAAGACCCGTTTTGAACATGAATCACTGATGTATAACTAATCAATTCTCATTGCAAAAGTTATCTATGCCTAAATCACAGAGTTTCAAATCTCTTTGCAAACTCTAACAACCTAAGCATGCAGGAATGATCAGATTCAATTGTTTACAAAACTCCTAAGCCAAATCTCTTTGCACTAAGTTGCTTTGCTCATCAAATACTAGTTCAGGTTATGAATAATGCTCTCACATATATTTAACAACCTAAGATTTTCGGATTCCTAGAAGATGTGTCTCAGAAATTCGATTTTAAAGCAAGTAGAGATGAAAAACCATAAGATATTCCTAACAGATAGCGATTCTACAATCTTTTCATCAACCTTTGAAAAACCCTAACTTAACTTGCAGATTACTCAGACATGATTATGAGATCACAAAACATAACTGAATAAAATTGCATTAAGAGAAAGAGTAAGAAATAAAGGGGGTTCGAAATCTTCTCAAAAGAGTACAGGATTTGTCTCCCCAAAAAGCTCTGAATAAATCTCTCTCTAAGCTCTCTGAATTCTCAAAAACTAAGATAATAGCCAACAATGGCTGAAAAACCTAATAAATAGAGGCTAAACACGATCTGGGGTCTTCATGTAAATAAAAGAACTTCTGGGCCAATTCTGCAAATCTTCTTCATACTTTTAATAAAACAGCCACGCTCCTTCCTTGATGGGTGACGAGCGTCACCAAAGGTGGTGACGAGCGTCACCAAAGGTGGTGACGAGCGTCACCATATGTGATACTTTCTGCTTCGAGCTTGGTACTTCGTGGCTTCAACCCAGAATGCTCCAAAAGGTTCCAAAATCTCCAATTATGCTCCAGACATGCTATAACCTGCAAAGACTCTACTAAGACTCTAAAAAGACCAAAAAGACTCAATAAAAAGGACTTATATCATGGTTAAAAACCATAAAAACCATGATATATCATCCCAGTCCCTTGTTATTGTTGTTGTTCCTCTTCAGCTCCTCGTTTTCCGCATGCGATGTATTAATCTGCTCCTGAAGAAGGCTTATCATCACTTCAGCCCTCTTCCTTTTAAGATCATACGTCTCTCTTCACAGACATCTGCTCCTTCTCCTTCTCGATATCGTTGATCAGCTCCGGAATGGAGCTTGTAGGGGGGGGGGAACAATGGTCTTGAGTGGTTTGGCTTGAGTTGTTGTAGCTTCCTATAGAGTCAATTTGAGCCTTGCGTATTTGATTTGACGACGTGAAGCTTCTTTATTAAGGACACAAAGAAGAAGACATTCTTTCGCCAGTGGCTCACCATTATCAGCTGGTTTGGGATCGTTGAGGTTCTTGTTCTACGAGTGGGTCTCCTACACAAGATTAACAGTTACATGAGACTTCAATGAAGTACGCATACAGAAACTAAAATGTTCTCCAAATTTACAAAAATCTCAAAAAAAAACATGACAATCTCTTTCAATGGGCCTCAACTAAACAGGAACAAACACTTGGAACACAGTTTGCATAGCTTTTAAAGCTCACGTTTGCTGCAGAGGAATACAAAATAAGGCGAAAACAGAGTAATGAGAAGCACAAAACCTGCTGGATCTCGTTGATTATATTGACATTCACAACGCTTGGAACATGAGCTCCTCCACCATCATCGTCATCCCACTCTTATTCCGAGAAGGGTGCATACACGTCATACACGTGTCCCTTAAGTGGCCCAGCGTGTTTCTTGAGGATCACTCTGCACAACTCATACTTATCAATCTGCACATCCATAAATAGACCAAGTCACATGTAAAGAAAAAGAGAATGATCAAATCCACAGCTCTAGTGACATCCAACGATGAAGAAAAACAGAGAGGTCGAAACTGATGTATCAATAAAACCAAATAGACTTATATACTGGCATCATCATCGAAAAGCAAGATAGGAAATATAGATTATACCTCAAGGCCTTGGTCGTTTTCAGCGAGACAATACTCATGGATCACCCAATTAGTTCGTTGAACCTTTGGAGAATGCCCATTGTAGAACACGAGGGTCTTCATCGTACCGATCAACTGCTTGTCTCCTCGCCGGATTTTCTTGTCTTCTCCAGTTTTTTTTTCCAGAAGCCTTTGTACGTTGATCGGTTCATATAACCACTTTTGCCCTTCTTCTTTTCCATTGCACTGAAGAAGAACCATTCTTGGTCCTTTGTCTTTAGCCTTGAATGCTCTGAAACAAAGCACTTGAGAGTTGAGACTTTATAACACTAACTCAAGTTGTATTTTCTGAATCTCAAACAACGAATTGCGAGAACGCAATATAAACTCGCATTAAAAGATTCAGTTTTTGGGTCGAGTGTGTAACTTAAGAATAGCAAATGCACCAGCCAAGAAATCATCTTCAACACAAATTCTCAGAACCCATTGAGTTAAAACCCTTCTCGTAGAGTCAGATCACTGATTATCTTTACCACTCACACAACATTATAACATTAAGAACACATATATAAACACAGGCGTCAAATCCATACCGAAAAATCCCAAAATCAAAAGCCAGGAAACAAAAGAGGATCTAACGCAGAGAAATCAAAGAACCTGGTAAGTCAGAGGGCTCGATCTTGTAAACATCGACTTCTACAATCGTATCCAAAACCATGGGTTTGCTCTGAACCTTCCTCTTCAAGTAATAGCTAATGAGCTGGATACTACAATTATACTACATAACATAACGCTAAAAATGTAAGCAAGCAGTGAGGGAAGTAAGGAAACACAAAATCAACGAATCAAAGAAACAAAGATTGAAGCAAGAAAACAAGTTAATCATGTTAGTAAGCAATGAAATAAACAAGCAAGCAAGTTTAACAATGAATTAAGCAGAAGGAAGCAAGATGACAATGTAAGCAAAGAAGCAAGCAATGAACCAACAAAGCAAATATGCAATGTATGTGGAAAGATCTTTGGAGAAAACATTTATGTAGCATGTCGAACGTAGTCTGGGGCGGATGCACATACACAGTTTGGTGGCACGTGCCCCATACTGAATTTTTTTTTGGGTAGTAGTTATATATATAGACTGAAGTTTTATTTATCCATTAGAGTATTCAAACGATCAAAATTAAAATTCCACTCAAAAATCCAAATTAGAAACAGTATAAAATTGTGTTGACTTACTTATCCACAATTTTATACTAAGTTTTCATTTTTTCTGCTTGTGTTTTCATATTACTTAGTCTAGTACTGGCCGTTGTGATATAGCACCTAAAGCTCATAAAAAATGATGCCCTTTGGATATGAGAACTCAATACAACATGAACCATAAATATTAACTAAACCTATTGCTCTTAAAGGTTTTTATAAAATTTGATGCTTTGAAATTGTTAATATAATTTGGCGTCTAAAGCTTTTGCTTTACGAGCTTTAGATCAGAACTGGTCCTAACGTAGCCAATAATAAAATTATTGAGTAAGTTTGTATGAGTTTTTTTTTAAATCTTTTTGTCACATTATATTTTAATCTATTTTTTTCATTTCATTCGATATATATATTTTTTTGTTATTAATATTATATTTTTGATAAATTATTTTATTAATTAAAATAAATAAAAATATATACTCCCTATTAAATAAGTTTCTGCGTCTGCCACTGAACGTAGTTGTTACCTTAACAATGTAAACAAAGAAACAAGTAAGACCATGTCCTGGTTCTATACATCCGTTGTACACCTTTTGACTTTGAGCAGTGATGTACAAGTGTTGAAGCAAGCATGCGTAGAAACAAAAAAAGCACAGTAATAATATTTTCATATTTTCAACACTTCAACTCCATGAAAAATTGTATCATTTCTAAGAAGAACCTTGTGTCCATTGTCTGCGAAGTTAATCCCCATTATTTAATTCTCTCAGTCATATATTCTCAATAATCAAAGGCTATAAATGGAAAAAGCTTCTTCCTTCTCTGCGAAGTCAACTTCTTAAGCATTAAACAATGAGACCCGGATAAATGATTGTCACAAATATAAATGTTTATGTTACCTGCCAGCAAAATTCGGTCCATGTCTTGAAGTTCAGCCTCTAGGAAACGACAATCTCGCATGAACTTCTCCTTCTGATATGAATCTATCCTACCTACACAAGATATTGACATGAATCTCACAGACAAGGTCGACTTCAATGGTGGGGGACACGGATAGAGAATGATTTCTAAAATTTACCAGATCTCAAAACGAATGGAGAAAGCCCCATCTTTTCTCCTGTGTTGTCATCACGGAAGTGAACACCAACTAAAAGGCTATAATCCATTATTCTCTCGGCTTCCAAGAACTCACAGTCGCGTTTTATTTGCCTGATAATGGATATACCGATCAGCGTTAGACACACATGTTTTAGACTGCTGAGTGGCACGAGCAAAAAAAAAAAAAAAAAACTTTAGTAAGCATGGAGCTTACTTCATAATCTCTTGATACCAGTTTCTCTGAAGACGGAAAGCAAAATTGAGATCAAGGTCCTTGAGAGTCGTGGTCTCATCAATTTCACCTTCAGGCTTTGCAGTACTCCGTCCATGGGAAGAACCTTTGAGGTCAAACCGTCTCTGGATTCTATACTCGGAGCAGAACAAGTTTCCCATAACGATAAACCGAGTCTGACAAAATGGTAAAACAGAATATGGTAAATTTTCCGGAAACTAAAAGACCCATTATTAAGCTTTAGATGAAACAACACATTACCTTCTGGCCACCGACGGGTTTCACACAATGAACACCGTATACTTACATGGGACCTCTTTGATAACATCGTATATCTCTCTTTCTTTGTAGAGATGTCTGTAAAAGGAACAAACTACAACATATACAATACAAAAGAAAAAAAATAGGCATAAACAATAATCTAGACAATAGAAATAAGAAAATAAGACAATGGAAGAAGGGTTGAGAACACAGAGACATAAGATACTTGCAGAAATCCTTTCGTTGTGAAGTTAATTGCAGCTGAAAGCCATGACATCGATCCAATTGATTATACAGTTTGTTAGAATTTCAAGCTCATCTAATAGCAAAAGCAAAGATGTATGACTGAAATCACATATCAAAACAATTCAAACGAAATAATAATAGGAAGAAGATATGCGAAACCTTGATTATATTCTAAGACTTCAAACCATGGCCATTGTACTTGCAAGAATTCAACATTCTCCAAGTGAGAATAAAAAGGTTCGCTGCTTCTATGTATCTCCACAGATTGTGTTGAATAACTACACCAAATTGCAGTCAGAATGCTATAGATTAAGCACTGATTTGAAAAAACAATCAAACAAACAAATCAGTTAATCGAAAACTCACCCTAGCAAAAGTAAAACGGAAACAGTGAAACCGAAGGTGTTGCGCAGCCAATGAAGCCATCTGATTATATCTTCCCTAATAAAACAAAGAGATCAATGTGTTTAATCGGCTTTTTCGCTTCACACTTCGATTTAAGATGATCTCACTTTGCCTAATTCAAAGTAAAACACCATTTTGATCCAACTTTTTCTAAAATCTAGTAAACTAAATTGCAAAACGTACCTTGTGGAAGACAAGCGAGTCATGCGATACGATTCTTTCTTTGAAGAAGATACAGAACAAAGGATCATGTAAACACATCATAACCAACAAAATAATCGACTACAAAACACAAACACAGAAATACAAAATACGAAAATTAAACTAAAACATACCTTGCTCAACATACCATGTCACATATCGATCTACATCAAAAAGTTAGAAGCACGGAATCACGAGATATATATACGACGACAACAAACTATAAAAGAACATTAGAACATAACCAAAAAGTGAAACACAAACAATCATTCATCTAGAGAAAAAAAAATAAAAACTAAAGCTATAAGATTAGGGTTTTTTTATTAGCTAGCTATATGAATGTTAATTTGGGCCAAAGCCCGAAGCCCGGTTCCGTCCGGCCCTGAAAAATACCGAGTTTGGGCTTTGGTATAAAAGCCCAAAAAAATTGGGCTTTTTGGGCTAAACCCATTCGGGCTAAGCCCATTTAGGCTAAGCCCATTTGGACTTAAGCCCGATCGGTCTCGGGCTTACCCGAAAAGCTATGTACTTTATATTATAATTTTATTTAGAATTTTTATTAATAAATTATCTTTACAATTTTTTAAAATTATAGTTATTAATTTTTTTTAATACTCTTCATTAATATAAAACTTTAATTTTTAGTTGTGTGCCTTCATATAACATCAATGCTCAAACTAAACTAGTTTCAAAAAGCACTCATACTTTCATTCTGAAGATTCTCATCTCGATTTCTACCATTTTTACTATTTATATTACTTATTTATTTAATTATATTTGATATTAGAATTTATATGAATTTATAAGTTAAAGTTTTGCTTTCAAATTTGATAAAACTATATTTCTGATTATTTTTAAAATTTATTTTATTTTTCTAAAAAGCCCGAAAAAGCCCGAAAAGCTCGATAATTCTGTTAGGACCGGACTGAGCTTCAAAATATAGGCCCGATATATTATCGGGCGGGGCCGAGCCGGGCTTAAATATATAGGGGTTTTATGGGTTTCGGGCCGGACTGGGCCGGGCTAGCCCGTTTGACATGCCTAGCTATATTAGGTTTAGCCATCGTCCAAAACTAAATTTCTTTTTTTATTTAGATTTGATAATCTTCAAATTCAAGGAATATTCCTCTGTGGTTATTTATTAAATGATTTAATAATTCGATGATCTTAATTTGATTCATAAATGAGTATATTCGACTACCATATAAGTCAGCAATTCAGAAAACTATCCTTATCCAACTAATGATTAGGGTTTTTTTATTAGCTAGCTATATTAGGTTTAGCCGTCGTCCAAAACTAAATTTTTTTTTATTTAGATTTGATAATCTTCAAATTCAAGGAATATTCCTTTGCAGTTATTCATTAACTGATTTAATAATTCGATGATCTAAATTTGATTCATAAATGACTATATTCGACTACCATATAAGTCGGCGATTCGGAAAACTATCATTATCCAACTAACCGATCAATTAATCTTATTCTTATCAAACTAATCAACCAATTAATTTAATAAACCATGAATAACACTAAACCGATAATTAGATCACGGTTTTCATTAAGGATATAATTGGAAAAATCGATGCCTAAAGTATGCTGAGAATAAACGTGAGAGTGACACGTCAGAAATCTACTTCTCAAATAATAGTATAGATTTCCAAACACTCTAGCCCTCGGTTGCTCGAACCAGGGTGATGATGGAAAGAGGGCGTGTATAACCCTCAAGGCTGTGGTGTTTTAATTGTCAATGATTCGAGCGTTATTGTTAATATATAGAATATGATTTAGTTATTTGTAATTGTACAGTTTAAATTGTAGGCCCAAACACGAGCCCAAGAAAAATTGAAAAATCTTATAAAGATTATTTATAAAAATGTTAATTCCTTATCTGAAACCCCAACACCCCCATCGTGTGTGTGTACGGCGTAACTCTTTGCCAAAAGTAAGAAAAAGCTAAAACTTTTCCCTTTCTTCGCCAAACGTATCTCAGATAATCTGTAAAAATCTACAAAGGTTTGTTCTATCGCTCTTAGTCTCCTTCTCACTCTCGCTCTCAATCTTTCGCCCTTTATTTTTTTCTGTCTTTCGCTCTTTCTCTCTCTCTTTCCCCGAAAACCTAGTTTTGTAGTTAGATTTAATTTTGTTGTATTGTGAGCACAGACTTATAATAATTATAAGGCTTTATGAATATATGTTCACCAATTTTACGTCAATTTGCACGGTTTTCAGTTCTGGGTAAATAAAAAAAATGAAGTTTTAAGTCGCCAAAAAATGTTGGGGTTTTTTTTTACATATAATTCAATATGTAGAATCCTTTTGAAGTGATTGATTAAGCAAACAAAGTTTGGTTCTAATAGAATATTATTCCTTTATATTATTCCGTTTGCTTTGATATTGCTTTTATTAAACTTTTGCAGATGATGGAAGATGAAGTGCATAATGACACTGAAATTGCCTCCAA